CTCGTATTTCCTGACTATGAACGTTGAATTATGGGTCATCACTTTGGTGTGATAAATGTGACGTCTTAGTTTAGAATGGGAAACGACTGACCAATTTATAATACTTTAGGGTATGTCTGGGGAGCTGATGAGTTTTCTTCCCCTTAGCAAATCTTACTGTCAACACGACACCCTTTCACATGCTTTAATGACGCTTATCGCTAAACAAACGGAGTGAAACGAAGGGCAGTAACTCAGAGATCAGAATGTCATTGGTCTCTCGTCTTTTATCGCTATTTCTTGTGGATACCAGATCATCGTCAGTTATGCTTGTTTTGAGACTAAGCAGAAGAACACAACTGGTCGGCCATCTTGGATTTGGAGGTTTCTGTTATTGTATGCTGTTACCATTTGGATAATTCAACAGTCAAAACAACAGATATTTACAAAATAAGAGCAAATAAAACGAAAGACAGAGAATAAGAAAATGTTCGTGTAAAAGCAGCTATAAAAGGTCATTCAATAGCGGTTTCAGCCTCTCTCTAGGTTCTGTTGTGGCTTTTACAGGAAAAGCGAATTGCGGATCTTTACCGGAAAAGCGCACTGCGAATTTTTACAGGAAAAGTGCAATGAGGATCTTAACCGGAAAAGCACACTGTGGATCTTTACCAGAAAAACGCACTGCGAATTTTTACAGGAAAAGCGCACTGCGAATCTTTACCGGAAAAGCGCACTGCGGATTTTTACAGGAAAAGTCAATTGCGGATCTTTACCGGAAAAGTGCATTGCGGACCTTTACTAAAATTTTATATTCAGGTTCCTGTTTTCCCACCATTTAACCAGGATGCATTTTGAGACTAATACAGAATGGCTTACAGGTAGCCATCTTGGATTTGGACCTTTGATATTTGATATTGGTTTTGCTCAGGAAGTCCTGAATAGGTTTCCTCTACAATCGCACGTGGGTTCCCTTGGTAAACAGTTATGATTGATCAATGTCAGCGACATAGATTTTAAATAGAAGTATGATTTCTTATCACTACTCCTTAAAACGGTTTTGATTAAACTTTTTTCTGACTTGAATATTTTCCCTGATTTTCTAGTGGTACCTGTGACGAACCAGGCATTTCAAAGTTATAATGTTTAGTATCGTTATTTCTCAGACAATATTGGATGGACCTTTGTCAAGTTCCATTTAAAGGCTTCCCTGTTGAATGATATGGTCACGGTATATTCACTTGTCAATACACATATAATTACATTTAAGAGCCAAGCGGATATTTAAAGAGAAAAAAAAAGGGGGGGGCGGGGAGGGGGGTGTCAAACAAACAATAAACAGATCAAACATGCAATAGGATCTCTTGCTGAAACTATATTTTAGATAGATACATACTAAAATAACTTCTACCAAGTTCCAGTTTTGTCTTAATGGAGGGTTGTAACTGTTCGCACTTGGGTGACTCAAGGTCGAAAACGAGTTATTGTCAAGCTATCTATTAGGAAACGAAAGAATTTAGTGGAAATGTATATCAGATGTTGCAGTAGATAAAACGGTATTGTAACCCCCCCCCCCCCCCCCCCCCCCAACCAACCCCCCCCCCCCCCCTTATCTGAGGACATATAAAAGTACCCTCTGGACGTAGTAACGTCCTTTAGGTGAAGATTCGAGGTGTGGCCATCCGTGACGGTTTGTATTTCTCAGAAAGCTGATAAATGGACCAGTCTGTGCTGCTGTAGCGTGGCTAGACATTTTACACTTATTGCTCTGAATGGCTCTGAATGGCTCGCACCTACCGTTGTTGTTCATCGAGGTAGAAGACACAAGTTTGTCTCAATAAACAACACACCGATGATACGTCGACAATTAACCAGTACACAAAAACAAAGCACTGCAAAGCTTTAAGTTACAAAAACAACAACAAAAACCACACGTACAACGTCCAGAAAAAAAAACCTTTTGCAGGCCTGGCAGATTCGGACTAATGTGATTGAACTAATGAATGGGCGGTGTTACACTCATTTCTAAACCACTTAACTGCATTAGATCTAATTTCTGTATGATGCGGAAAGTACAGTTGTAAAAGCCATCTTTGATACAGGAAGGATAACACCATTTGTTGGACTTTTAGAATCACTGGTCACGCCCTTACCAGCCGGAAGTCGTATGGTCCCTATCTGGAGGAAAACCCACCCCCAACAGACACGAGTTTTATCATTTCATTTTCTCCACCTGTGGCGCTGGATTCAATCAATACGTCCTTGTTCCATTAAGGCTGAACATGTGACCAGTCTCCCATTTCAGAAGTACTCATCAAGTTAAATGAATTATAGTTATCAGTTTATCCTCCTATCGTAACTAAAGTTAATCCAGGAATTGTATGCCATCTGACATTTGTTTATATGAATTTCAACCTCTTCCAATCCAGTTTTATAATATCATCTGATGCTAGTGCGTCCAAAGATAAAATACATTTTACTTTTAAATGCACAAGAATACGGGTGGCCATTTAAGATGTGTTTTGGTAAAGCGAAGCTGCACTGAAATTAGTGTGATTGCCGTGTTTAGGTGATTTTACTTAATAGATCTTCAGACAACCAGCTGAAATACATGTATATCACTGCAAAGCATTCTGCGATGTGATTTCTTTCCTTTCAGTCAAACAAGAATCAGAAATGAGCACCGCTACCTGAACACAGTGTATATGTAATCATTTGACTTCGAACTAAGGACAAGTAGCTCAGTCTACCGTATAACTTTAACAGTACAGTAACCAAGTGGTGAGTGATTTGACAAAGTGTTTTGGGGACACCAGTTGTTTTCTAATGTTGGAAGGTTTATCACCCCAGTGGCGATTCCTCACTAACAAACATACGAAATGTCTTGCAGAAGAACTACCGAACAGCTATGACGTCACAGACAGGTCTACTTGACATAAACGGGTATATGGAGCGTGACACTTTTACCTGAGGTAGCGTAGAGTTACATACAACCAAATTCTCAAAGAAGATTCAGTACAAATACAGTATATATCCGATGGAGGGTTCCGGGATTAGAGGCACGCTCACTTAACGTTGTGGTGCACATTCTAATAACACAGGGGTGCACAAAAAGATAGAGGGTCATCGTGATGTACAATATCTTGTCGTGATCTATAAAGCTTCCCGAGAAACAAACATTAACAGCGATAGAGATCGAACCACACACCACGGTTCTCCTCCTCATCGCGATATTATTGGCAAACGCATTTCATTAGCACATAAAATAAAAACGTAAGTAAGAAAAGGAAGAAAAAAGCTGTTTTTAGACAAAACGCTATTAACATGTATGAATCATCCATCGTTATCAACAGTAGATGGTTTCCATCCGTATACACCCAGCGCACGTGCATGTGCACGTCCTTAGAAGTCAATAACACGAAACAATAAACAGATTTATCTGAATTCGCGGAACGACTGATTGATACAAAAACAATTGTTATTTCATTTTAAGTTTACAAAATTGTATCATTGTCCGCTCCGATAAATGGCTTTATGTACTATTTGAATTAGTTTTATCAGAATCAGACTGACCGTCCACTTGTCCTGTAGTAATCATGCTTGCGCCCGGTAGATAAGTTTGTCCCGTAGGCTGCAGACTTTCGTGACTATTGTATCTATCCAAACAGAAGTATTGGAGGATTTACACTGGTGAATGAGTGGGCACGGTAACTCAGTAAAAATGTAGAACTTGAAGCCTCAGATGACGATCCCAGTCCGAGGTGTGAGTTCCTATCCCTATGGTTCCATTGTTGTATTATTAGGTAAGACTCTTTGCAAGTTCTTTTGTAAAGCGCGCGACGGACTCTCGTATGTTGTTCAGGGATGTATACGTATATAAATAACTACCAGTCACTACACTAAGTGAAAAGCCCAAAACATGACGATTTATTGAATTAAACATCTGTGTAGCGATCTCATTATAGTAATCACTTCAGTAATATTACAACACAAAAAAATCTGTTATAGATTATTTCGTATTTCTAGAAGGTGCTTTGTAATACAAAGAAAAAAAGCCAAAATAAATTTAAAAGGTATATGTTATATATATTTTCTTTTAAATTTTCAGCTGTTCGTCGAAGACTGCAAGAGTTATTCCCCTTGTACAAAAGTGTCATAAACTACTTGTCGTTCAGTTTAGTAATTAGATACACAACAGGAGTTAGGTATCCATAATACTAAATCGTGATCCAAATATTCAAATTGTTCACGGTCGTAACCTCGCTAATCACTGAATGTAACTGTTTGAAGATCGCTTGGACATTATACAATGTACATCACTAAGTGTGAATCGTATTTTTTTTTTTTTTTTTTTGTTCAATTGACTTTTTTCTTTAAGTCTGAATAAAGTCAATTGTCACTTTTGATATTACGAAATATAGTTTTATACGGGTACTGTGCTAACACGTATACTATTCAAGAAAAAATAGGAATGTGTTCGTACGGTCACCGAGAGTAAGGCTAACAGAGTGACCTCCCCTGATACAACCTGTCGGTAAACATTTCTGAATCGAATGGATAAGGAAGTGAATAAGTATATATCTTTATTTTTGAAAAATAGACGTTAGCATGACGATATAGATACATCTTATACTATCACTGTCATACTATATTTCAGGAAATAATTAGAAGATAATTTCAATTGTTTGCCCAACTCGTCGACATCTTTGATTCATTATATCGTCTACAGCTTGTATTGTATCTCTTAAATCTGACACTCAATCTATGTCTTATAACTTGTTATTTCACTCAGTGGGAAATTTTACCTATTTTTTCACCATTAAATTATTTACTGCGAAATATGTCATAAGATCTGCAAAACCTAAATTGTATTTCAATTCTCCTAGAATTCTATTCGCCGTATTATGTCTTCCAAATGTCTTCTAAACAACAACTAACCGGATCAATTAATGTCTCCTGGACGCTTTTATTGGCTATTAAGTAAGTTTTGATTTTTTGCGTGTCCATTCTGATTGCCAGAACTGCTAAACCAAACTGTTTTTTTCTCGTGGTGTATTTACTTCCGGTTCCTCTGTCACCGTCTCCAAGCGGACCGTTTCCGATCTGTCCAATGCAGGTCCTTCCCTCAAGCTATCCAGGCGTATGGTAACGGACTGTTTCTTTCCTGACAACAGTTTAAACAGCCGCAGTTGATTATATAGTACAGGCGCGAAAAATGTATAAAATAAATTTTAATTACGTTACAGAGTTTCTCTGATTTTGAATCACTTTAAAAACTACACGAATTGTCTCCCCTGCCATATAGTGCTCATTAGTACAGGGTCATGGTTAGTTTCACCTTACTTTTGCTCGGATATCATTGCAGAATATTGCTCCCAAATATTATTAATATTTCACTCGTTTGGTCATTTTAAACATATGTTCCATTAGAATAATTACCTGTACGATATATAAATATGGCTGCTCCTGAAATGACGGACATAAGGAAACACACCACAAATGTTACCGACACTGGATCTATATCCATTTTACCTGTAACATATAAGTACAATTCAATCAAGTCAACAACAAATATGGATCCCCCCACCCCTCAATAAATCAATATAATATTTCAGGTGAAATGATCCGCCATGATGAAATGTACGTGATCCGGAGGAGGACGAGATGGCGCCGTACAGACAGCCGAGCAACTATGGCGTTTCCAAGAACATTTATACCGAATCGTTACACATTTAGAGGATCAGATTTGATCGACATTTCCACAATCCTCATCCATCTCTATTTTCCCTATTACTGAAATTAGAATAAAAGAAAGAAAAATGACTTAAATTCAACGAGCCAAATCGACGCCATATTTACAACAGTTGAAAGACCATTTCCTTGCACCTTACAAGGTTAACAATTTCAGTTACGATCAACACCGACTTCATATTATTACATAAAGTCCACAGCTCGTTTGCACACGTTCGCGTGTATTCTGTGATTGATGATCGTGTTCCACATTCCTGTCATGAGATTTCCTCTGTCGAAATCTAGACAATAACTCCGCCGCCATCTTGATATGACCCCTTCGGACTACGTATACGAGAGACTGGAAACGAATTACCATGGTAACGAATATGATTGCTTTTCATCCCTATATCTTTGGATACTTTAGTACAATTATATATTTTCTATGATATATATACTACCGCTGAGATTTTCTTCTGAACACTTTTCTTCATCCTCCCGATTACGACAGTTTACGACTCCATCGCAAACCCGATCCCGCCATATCCGAACGGATGTGTTTCCATGGTAACCACCGTCTAAGCGAGGTATACACTGGAACAACATAGATGACGTCCCTTTTCTTTTCATTCTATAACACATGTCTGAAACGGGGGGAAAAACAATGTGATATCGTTTAAGACTAACACAGGTGATACAGTCCACGATTACAGCGCAGCTTTCTTAGTTTTGTTTGAAGAGGAATTTATTCTAATCTCACACTTAAATTTTTTTCCAATGTGACATTACAGCTTATATAATGTTATTTGGACATTCGTTAACGTAGCGTTACTTCAATCAGTTAATTAAAATGAAATATTAATATCAAACTCGTTGCTATGGCGATTAATACATATCTAACAATAGTTACAATAAGACATCACAATAATTGACCAACCAAGCTGTTCGTCTGACCCGTCCTTGCAATGGTCAACCCCGTCACACATGAACCAGAGGTCATACCCTCGTTCATCGTTATACATGGGTAACGAAGGGCAGATAACTCTGTCATTCCAGCACAGAAAACACGGACCGTTGGTTTCAGGTATTTGTTTCTCTGTAACGTTCCGGATGTTTCCTGTAAAGAAAAATGGTAGAAAGGGGAAACTTCAGTCCAGGATAATGTTTTTCAGTCTAAGAGCTAACCGGATAGAATTAGTAAACAAATATATAACACACACATCGAATTCCGAAACTCTCCTCCAATGTCTGTAAATGATAGATCTATGATGATAAAACGGTGAAGGGATATTATCAGAACAAAAATATTAAAAAGTTAAATATATCGAGTACCACAGAATTCATCTCGTCCGTTCTGACAGTCAGTTCGTCCATCACATACTCTGGTCTGCTCGACACACTGGACTGGCGAACACTCAAACGAGTCGCTGCTGCATCTCACTGTAACAGAATGGTATGTTCATGTACAAACTTCACGTATATGTAAGTTATAGTAAATATTATTTGTAATATTTAAACTAAAAAAAAACGTTGAGCATTAACGTTTTCAAAAGCATGTACAGAATTTACAACATGAACTCATCTAGGGTAGTACTTCAGAGTAGCTCACAAGCGGTGCAGCGGTCATTGTTAATAGATTTGAACATTTAACTTTCAAAAGCACATAACAATTAAGCTTGTCCAATGTCATCGTCTCCGAACATAAACATGTCATGTTTGTTTCGTTTCATTTAATTGGCAAGTAAAGTTGCATTAAGTTTTTTTTTTAATTTCGTTAAAGAAACTAGAGAAATGCTATGTCACATCCAAGCAAAATTCAACCATATTGATGACAGTTCTTTCTACAATTACAGAATCCAAACTTCGCAATACACCTTCAAAATATTATTCCAAATAGTTCAAAACTTAATCCAAAATATCCTTCCTTACATACTGTTTGACATAAAACCAAAAAAGCACAATCCAATGCAGGTGAAATATTCAACCACCTAATCCATGGTTTTTCACTTACCAGCTGGACGAGCCTCGATGTGGATTTCTCCCGTAGTTTCTTGCTGACTTAAAGCATTATACACCATCCACATATAGTTCTCTCTCGATATTATCTCCAACCCGCGTACTACGTCACAAAATTTGTATGAAGTCAAAGACACCATGTCCAATCGAAATTTGTCGTTTCCAATGTGAAAATATCCCCGATTACAATCAGGATACTGTGGTATGTAATGGACGTTCACCTGTAGGCGATAACCCGGTAGTGTCCTTACCTCAACACGACATCTTCTGAACCGTAAACCACCTTCCTCATACTGCACGATTTTCACAGTGTGGTTTTCTGTCTCAGAAGTAGGAGGTAGTGTGACGTCATATATGTTACTGGTTTGGTATCTTATGATATATTTGGCTTGTTTCGAGATATTTAGTGTTTCTCCGCATTTAATTGTGTCTGCAAAAGAACAAACAAAACAATACGTGATTTAAGCAAAAGAAATCTTTTCATTCGGTCTATCTGCTTTTCTGTCGTTTTATCATCTCCAAAAAGACATAAAACATTTTTCTTCGATATGTGTTTTGGTTTAAAGATTATCTTACTGATAGAAAACAAAGAGCGTTAACAAAGGGGTTTTATTCAACATATCAACCTTTAAAAGCTGGCGTTCCACAAAGTCCAATCCTCTGTCCGTTTGTATTTATATCAATGATATAGCTGAATGTCACAAACAAGTTCAAACTTTTCGCAGATGATCTTTTTTTTATTATTGTAAATATGCCTCAAGTAATTCAAACACTTGGCCAACAAATGGGATATCAATAAAAAAAATAGGGAATAAAACAATCCATGTATTTTATTTGCTAATGACACCGTATGTTCTGCCATGATACATAAACATTTAGATTTCATTTAGTCATGATTGTAAGTGATCACACCATATCAATGACATCTATAAATAGAAATAATGTCAGTGACTTAAATCATCTGATGATATATTTATTGATCAATTAAATAAACACAAACAGATATACCATTAGATTATCGCCATTTTAACATGGAAACTTTTGGTTGTGTGATATGTAAAACAGATATTGATATAGCTATTCTCTATAGCATTACAGAGTATCTACATCATACCAATAGATTTAATGTGTAACTTTCCCCATATTTATTTTGATTCAGTGATTATCTGATGTCACTTGTTGTAAACAATCTTTATTATGAGTACATTTGTATAGAACATTTCTGACTAGACTCGACGGACATTCTGTATTATCTACTATTATAATAATTAGATGTCTACCTAATCAACATATGATATGTCTAATATAGATAAAAAATGAAATAACAATGTACATCTCCGTGCATTAATCATACTCTACCATACCATTAAATAAAATTTGTTGATAATTTTTATGCAGATACTCTGGGTGGAAAGCCGAGGTGTGTAAACACAGGGACTCTACGATCCTGGGTTTCTGTGTGATAAGTTATCAAGAAATTCGTATCAACTGCATAATTATATTAAAATATTGAAAGCATACTTCAAGCCTGTTAATTTTAGTACTTTATATTCCGTAACAAATTGGAGTTACCTCCCCTCGCCTGTTTTAATCTATTGGTTTACAGAGGTATAGCTTGTCCGATCCTATTAACATATGAAAAATTAATCAAATTAGTTTAAATTGAAAATGAAATGTATTTTTTTCTGAATTTTCCATCTTTATAATTTATCTTTCATCATAATTAAATAAAGAGACGTAATGTTTGGTGCCAATTTCTCGCTCCGATGGATAAAATCCACTTATATCATTCTGTTAGACCATGGTTATTTTTTCTGTTGTAATATTTAACTTTCTGTTTCGGTACCTAACATGCTCCAGTTCAAGGCAAGCATTGCATTTCTTCTTCTGAGCTTTCTATTCAAGTAAGTCGAACAGCGACACAAATAGACTGCCAAGTTATTTTAAGTATTTTAAGAAAAGCCTTCTGGGTGACAGCGCAGACTAGTTTCATACCTATGATATCCAGGTATCTTAAATATTGCTCTGATCGAACTTTCGAACAGAGAGTAAGAATATTTCCCAGAACCCTTCAACAGTCAGAAATATTGACCCCTTCCAATGAAAACAGTATCAAGGACACCACATAATTTTCGGCATCAACAGTTTACATCGAACTTTAGCTACAACGTAAACTTTAGGAACATCTCACTACCTTTTATATTCCCGTCTAATTATTTCAAGTTCACTATTCAGGTTTTCCTATAGATTAACACCAAACAGTGGTGTGAACATGTCAGCAATACTTCCTTACATTTGATCCCAGTATTACGGGCTGATGAAGGTTATAAGGAAGTTTTTGTTGTCACGGTCATGACCTTATCGAGATATTTCACAGTACTTTGTTCGATATAAAGCGAGATGTGACGCTCTGTGTAATGCCCAGGTACAGTATCATCACAGTCTACATTTTAAGCTCGTGGACTGACCAATAAAGACACATAGAAGCTGGGTTGGAGTCGTGGATGAAACAGAAGACGATCATCATATTTCTTCCGATACACAAATACATCCATGAATCAATTTTATTTAATTATATGTGCCTTCGATTTAATTATTTAAACTTATTATTTCATTTCAAAGTATAGATCAGGCTTGCTTGCATCATCATTAGATAAATCGACCAATACTTGAGAATTCTTGTTTTCTACAAGTTGTGTTCAACAACCTGTCGCAAAGTTGTTTACATCTTTAGATCTTTTCTTAAAGTAATATTGTATGTTTGGATGTTCAGCCGTCAGATTTTAGTAAGTTTAGAACGCGTTCTGACTTTACAGGTAAGGTTGAGAAATAAAAACTGACCTAAAGCTTGATGCGGTTGAATTGCCAACAATATATTTCCTGATTTGATCATGATATCCTAGTTACATAGTGCGCAGTAATGCTTTACCTACTAACCAAGGAAATGTGTAACCTGTATTTAACCGTGTAAGTCTTTGTTGCATTGAATAAATCATACGATTTAGTGATATGTAAAATAAATTATCAGACCATAACATATTAGGCATCAACGACGTGTCTTAGAAGGACAGACAGCTGTATGATGTAGCATCACTGACGAGTCCTAGAAGGACAAACAGCTGTATGAGGTAGCATCACTGACGAGTCCTAGAAGGACAAACAGCTGTATGATGTAGCATCACTGACGAGTCCTAGAAGGACGAAACAGCTGTATGATGTAGCATCATTGACGAGTCCTAGAAGGACAAACAGCTGTATGATGTAGCATCACTGACGAGTCCTAGAAGGACAAACAGCTGTATAATGTAGCATCACTGACGAGTCCTAGAAGGACGAAACAGCTGTATGATGTAGCATCAATGATGAGTCCTAGACGTTTAATTCATTGCTTTACTCTACTTTATATAAATCCTATGTATGAAAATGTGCTATTCACTTGTGTGTCTTTTGTACGGGAATGTAGATTGACAATTTTATGTTATTACCTTCAATGAGGACTCGCCAGTAACCTACAGAGTAACATATGAGGAGGAGAGGAACAGGGAGTTAGCAGAATGGTTCTCTGTTAGTTTGTAAAATGATTGATACAAATATGTTTGTATATTGAAAATAGGGAGGAATTCCTACGACAATATCGTTTATATTATTGTATTTGATTTATCTAAGTATTAAATATATGTTTTAATTACTTACTTTGGTCTGATTCGAACGCTGACATCAACCCAAAAGTAGATACCATTAACCACACTGAAACGATAATCAATATCTACAGGTTTTTGAGTGTAATGATACTTTGTTTTATGTACTATGCAGAGATCATATTCACAGCAAAGGAAAAGGTTTAATTGTATGCAAAAAATAGGAAAGAAATAAGAAAAAATGAAAGTGCAAATATTGCAAAGTTTGTGGTGTAGTATGTTTTGTGTTTGTGGTGTAGTGGTGTAGTATATTTTGTGTTTGTGGTGTAGTGGTGTAGTATATTTTGTGTTTGTGGTGTAGTGGTGTAGTATATTTTGTGTTTGTGGTGTAGTGGTGTAGTATATTTTGTGTTTGTGGTGTAGTGGTGTAGTATATTTTGTGTTTGTGGTGTAGTGGTGTAGTATATTTTGTGTTTGTGGTGTAGTGGTGTAGTATATTTTGTGTTTGTGGTGTAGTGGTGTAGTATATTTTGTGTTTGTGGTGTAGTGGTGTAGTATATTTTGTGTTTGTGGTGTAGTGGTGTAGTATATTATGTGTTTGTGGTGTAGTGGTGTAGTATATTTTGTGTTTGTGGTGTAGTGGTGTAGTATATTTTGTGTTTGTGGTGTAGTGGTGTAGTATATTTTGTGTTTGTGGTGTAGTGGTGTAGTATATTTTGTGTTTGTGGTGTAGTGGTGTAGTATATTTTGTGTTTGTGGTGTAGTGGTGTAGTATATTTTGTGTTTGTGGTGTAGTGGTGTAGTATATTTTGTGTTTGTGGTGTAGTGGTGTAGTATATTTTGTGTTTGTGGTGTAGTGGTGTAGTATATTATGTGTTTGTGGTGTAGTATATTTTGTGTTTGTGGTGTAGTGGTGTAGTATATTATGTGTTTGTGGTGTAGTATATTTTGTGTTTGTGGTGTAGTATATTTTGTGTTTGTGGTGTAGTGGTGTAGTATATTTTGTGTTTGTGGTGTAGTGGTGTAGTATATTTTGTGTTTGTGGTGTAGTGGTGTAGTATATTTTGTGTTTGTGGTGTAGTGGTGTAGTATATTTTGTGTTTGTGGTGTAGTGGTGTAGTATATTTTGTGTTTGTGGTGTAGTGGTGTAGTATATTTTGTGTTTGTGGTGTAGTGTTGTAGTATATTTTGTGCTTGTGGTGTAGTGGTGTAGTATATTTTGTGTTTGTGGTGTAGTATATTTTGTGTTTGTGGTGTAGTGGTGTAGTATATTTTGTGTTTGTGGTGTAGTGGTGTAGTATATTATGTGTTTGTGGTGTAGTATATTTTGTGTTTGTGGTGTAGTGGTGTAGTATATTATGTGTTTGTGGTGTAGTGGTGTAGTATATTTTGTGTTTGTGGTGTGTGGTGTAGTATATTTTGTGTTTGTGGTGTAGTGGTGTAGTATATTTGTGTGTTTGTGGTGTAGTATATTTGTGTGTTTGTGGTGTAGTATATTTTGTGTTTGTGGTGTAGTGGTGTAGTATATTTTGTGTTTGTGGTGTATAGTGGTGTAGTATATTTTGTGTGTGGTGTAGTGGTGTAGTATATTTTGTGTTTGTGTGTAGTATATTTTTGTTTGTGTAGTGGTGTAGTATATTTTGTGTTTGTGGTGTAGTGGTGTAGTATATTTTGTGTTTGTGGTTAGTGGTGTAGTATATTTTGTGTTTGTGGTGTAGTGGTGTAGTATGTTTATTTTGTGCTTGTGGTGTAGTGGTGTAGTATATTTTGTGTTTGTGGTGTAGTGGTGTAGTATATTTTGTGTATGTGGTGTAGTATATATTGTGTTTGTGGTGTAGTGGTGTAGTATAGTATATGTGTTTGTGGTGTTGTGGTGTAGTATATTTTGTGTTTGTGGTTAGTGTGTAGAATAGTGGTGTAGTATATTTTGTGTTTGTGGTGTAGTGGTGTAGTATATTTTGTGTTTGTGGTGTAGTGGTGTAGTATATTATGTGTTTGTGGTGTTGTGGTGTAGTATATTTTGTGTTTGTGGAATAGTGGTGTAGTATATTTTGTGTTTGTGGTGTAGTGGTGTAGTATATTTTGTGTTTGTGGTGTAGTGGTGTAGTATATTTTGTGTTTGTGGTGTAGTGGTGTAGTATATTTTGTGTTTGTGGTGTAGTGGTGTAGTATATTTTGTGTTTGTGGTGTAGTGGTGTAGTATATTTTGTGTTTGTGGTGTAGTGGTGTAGTATATTTTGTGTTTGTGGTGTAGTGGTGTAGTATATTTTGTGTTTGTGGTGTAGTGGTGTAGTATATTTTGTGTTTGTGGTGTAGTGGTGTAGTATATTTTGTGTTTGTGGAATAGTGGTGTAGTATATTTTGTGTTTGTGGTGTAGTGGTGTAGTATATTATGTGTTTGTGGTGTTGTGGTGTAGTATATTTTGTGTTTGTGGTGTAGTATATTTTGTGTTTGTGGTGTAGTGGTGTAGTATATTTTGTGTTTGTGGTGTAGTGGTGTAGTATATTTTGTGTTTGTGGTGTAGTATATTTTGTGTTTGTGGTGTTGTGGAATAGATTTATGTGATAATCTTGTTCTCGCCAATCTAAGTACGATGGTTTTTTTTTTTGCTGGTTAAATTCACCGCTAAAATTCACGTGTACATAAGGAAATAAAGAATTTATAATAAAAAATCACGATATCATATCTAGGCCTTACAATAAGTAAATTATATTCCTATTATATATATATAATTTACTTACCTGTTATGAGTATGTGTTCCATGTTTACGTGTTTCCCAGTATGTACATTATGTCAGTATATTTATTGTATAAATTGTATGTAGGTAAACTTAAAACATGTTATGACAGAAGATAAATGTAATATTTACTTACATTATCTGAAGTGTCCTATCTCACACTTTGTGTGTACCTACTATATTTAATCACTGCACATCAAACACAGGTACAGATAGTACACTAGCTATATATACAGTTTAGCTGGAGGCATCACAACTATGTTATATGTAGCGGTATGGGTAGCCGAACCCTGGCTGGAGGCGTCACCACTATGTTGTATGTAGCGGTATGGGTAGCCGAACCCTGGCTGGAGGCGTCACCACTATGTTGTATGTAGCGGTATGGGTAGCCGGACCCTGGCTGGAGGCGTCACCACTATGTTGTATGTAGCGGTATGGGTAGCCGGACCCTGGCTGGAGGCGTCACCACTATGTTGTATGTAGCGGTATGGGTAGCCGGACCCTGGCTGGAGGCGTCACCACTATGTTGTATGTAGCGGTATGGGTAGCCGGACCCTGGCTGGAGGCGTCACCACTATGTTGTATGTAGCGGTATGGGTAGCCGGACCCTGGCTGGAGGCGTCACCACTATGTTATATGTAGCGGTATGGGTAGCCGAACCCTCATTCAAAAGTATTTTATGTTTCGTTAAAAAAGAAAAGACATTTGATTAATGAAATATCATATTTAATAAATGACAAAAATAAACTTTTACCTCATTTGATACAACCTTGGATAGTCATTTACAACGATACATAGGTTGTTTTGGGTGAACAAAGCTTCATGACACGTTAGTGAAGAATGGAGAATCCTTTCAATCGGACAAAAAAGCTCATTTTACTGAAGAATTTGTTCGGTATTTTGAGCAGTCTATGAAAAGCTCGAATATATCCGATGTACAAAATTACCGTTAGAGTTCATTCCATTGTTTGCTATATTTTGTTTAATGAATTACCGAGATGCTATGAAGCTATATATACATAGGGAGAGGTTTCAAGTTCTATGTGCACAATCAACAATTTCATGAAGTGTCAAAGTTTGTCCCAAGTTGTCACCAGGCACAGCTTGAGCCGAATTTACTCGGAACACAAACGGAAGAAACTTATAAAAAGATATTCGAATATACTTGACACCTGATATTTTTTGTTGTCTAAATAAATTTGTGTCGTGATATCGATGTCCATGACTACGATAATGTCGCTTTCGAGATAAGAACAAAGACCTTCCGTCTGTATTACTGCGTCCTAGACAGAAGAAATTCCCTAAAGAATGTACCGTCATTGTAACAACTCAGATATCACATAATGTGTGGCGATCTCGTAAACAGTCATTTAACTAATATAAGTAATCATATATATTATATTTTGCCTTAAATTGTGATCTTGAACTATGCCAGATATCGTAATGCCGTCTGCGATAGATTATTTAGGATAATCTCGTTTATATATATATATCTATTATTTAGGAAAATATCGTATAGATATGTTTTTAGGACAATATTGTATAAACATGTTATTTAGAACATCGCGGTACAGACATATATCATTTAGGACAATGTCGTACAGATATGCGATATAGGACAATACCGTATTTATTTGATAAATACCTTAAAACTCAGTCGTGTTGCGATTGTTTCTTATATCAAAATGCATTAAAGCGTATAAAATGTTTTGAAGCTCGAGTAAGTGTGAACCAACATTTCCCTGTCTGGGAACCAAACTTTTTGTTTAATATCTGATCATCTGTCTATCTTCACTCTTTGATACAAAACTTCATCGTTTGCCGCTTTCACCATCCTCCGCTACTTCAACCAAGAATTGTCTCCCTTCGGTGCATTCTTCAATTTTATTGCGTGTCTTCAGGAATTTAAATGCAATCTATGTTAAACAGAGCCAGCTTGGAACATCATGTCAGCATTTTATATGTATCCTTCCTCTTGTCGTTATGCTTCGTTCAGTCCTGTCATGTCTGGCACTGAGTCACCATAGTAAGAACGGACATACCAGTACCTAAAAATATCGTGTTTTTGGCTGCCTAATCGAAGGACTTTCCAAGAGACAGTCAAGAGTCTTATCCGAGTGAAGGCACCAATATCCTTGGCTTCACTGTCACAAATGGAACCGATTAACATTGTAGCAGAGCTTGAAACAAACGACTTTCAAACTAGATTCTCTCTATAAAATTTATTAAAATATACTAAACGGCTGAATATAACATAAATAAGTTAAAATTATACAGTATACACTACAAATATATTTTATAAGACAGTTAGCTTCCATAGCACTTGGTACAAATTTGAAAAGATTGTATTACAATTTAAGGATACAATATATCTGTATGTTACTCGACCAGCCTTTTTAAACCATTACCCGCTGAAAATTATATAAAAGAAAAGCACCCGGTACATTTGATGGTTGTCAAAAGAGAGACTGTTCAGGTTTTCCTAACAAAGACAACATAAATTCCCTCTATCAGCAGATCAACCACCTGCTCATTCATCTTCAACATTTCACTGTTATAATGTTTTTTATCTTTCTTTACTTTTTCCACCTAGTACACTTCTCATCACCTGATCAAGTTTAATATTCATCTTTTAAATGAAATGTATATTTACAGTAAAAAAAACTTAATGCAAGTCCGAGTCCTGTACTCATAGAATTTCCGAAACTACTGAAATTTTACACTTTTACACTTATTTTTCAGCAATTAAGTTCAGGCCTCTTGAAAATTAATTGTAGATAGAGACATTTACACACACGAGCACAAGTACCTACAATATATTGTCTCCATGGTGATACTTCAATTACAGTAACTACTTAAGAGAAGAGATTCCATAAGTATTTTACTGTTAAATGCCACATCGTGTGAACTGTGATTTGATACAATTTGATCACTGGATAAGTATCTCCTTCAACTACAATCACTACCAGCTATCTGTCCATGTACAAGTTCCACACAGATTCCATACTCTAAATCTCAATTTTACGTGACTGTTAAACCTTCCTAAATCACCAATTAAATAGATTTCTACAGACAATCCATTCTGTTATATTGTGATATTTTTATAGAATTTGAAAAGACAAAGTAATGCCCATATACAAAGATATCAACTATTCAGCTCCTTACAACAGCCTGTATCTATATTTGTGTTCAATCAATAAGTGTTCTTGTTAAGGAAATGAGAAAGATCAATTTACTGGTAATGACTAATAAAGTTCTTTTCACTGACAGAGAAATACAGTGTTATAATGAATCTAAAATTCTTGCTGAAGAATGTGATATATAACATTAATAAAGATTTCAATCAGCAGGACACCTTACCATGGGTACAGAATGACATTATGGAATCATTTCTGGAAAATGGCTCGACAATGAAGACAATATCGGAGTAAAAACAAATTTTTTTAACACAAAACTGAATTATAGAGATTACACACTGTACATTTTCATACAAGGTAACTTTCTGCTCATTTGAGATTATTGTTGTTGCATTCAATGGTTAAGAATGCTCATTTGAGAATATTGTTGTTGCATTCAATGGTTAAGAATGCTCATTTGAGAACATTGTTGTTGCATTCAATGGTTAAGAATAAGAAAAAGTATTACTGTGTATCAGGATAATATTACACTGTTGAAGACAACAATGAATGTTTCATTGGTGACAAGCATAATTGTAATTATATATTAAAAATGAAAATTTCCTAATACACGATTAAACAACGTACTTAAAACTTAATTATCCTTTGAAAACTAAACTAGAAATCTCACAGTGAAATATCCACCGGGCAAACAACAGATTCAGAAACAGTAAATGTGAGGCCATTTACAAAAATGTTTGTTTCCTTGTCCTTACCAACACTAACTTTTCTATTTATCCTAAACGGTTAATATCTTAATTGTATTCCTATCTAACCCTTATGAAAAATATAATAGAAAGAGAATTATCAACTTGTATGCCCAAATGTTTACAAGAATTATCAACTTGTATCCCCAAATGTTTACACGAATTATCAACTTGTATCCCCAAATCTTTACACGAATTATCAACTTGTATCCCCAAATGTTTACACGAATTATCAACTTGTATCCCCAAATGTTTACACGAATTATCAACTTGTATCCCCAAATGTTTACACGAATTATCAACTTCCCAAATATTTACAAGAATGATCAACTTGTATGCCAAAGTATTAACAAGAATTATCAACTTATATATCAAAATGTTTACAAGCATCTCATGTTACAGGAAACATTTTTTTGGCCCGATCTGTAATGGAAATTCTCGATCAATATTCTGATTCTCATAATTCTAACCTGTGATGCAACATACTGTATTCTAACATATCAAAATACTTTATTAACATGCTCTTCCCTTTTGGCAGTGCTATCATGATATTTTGGTATAGAACTTCTGTGGGCATTTAAACAAGTTTGAAATTCAATATTTCTGTTCAAGTCACATTGATGATATGAGATCAGGTATAAAACTTTGACATTATATCAACCTATTTAAATCTAACATCACATTTATTTCCAATTTCGCACATTCAATTCATGAATCCATCAACTTGATTTCATATGTAAAATTTGTATCTGGAACCTGAAACCTGCCGTCTTTATTGTTATTTGTTAAACAGGAAGTCTTTATCAAGTATGACAATGAATGAAAACAAAATACATAACAAAAAAGTAATTAATAGCTCCATGTTAAACAAGAATACTTTTTACAGTTTAATACCTAAAAACGCTACCTGCTGACCCTATGGGTACAGTTTAATACCTGAAAATGCTATCTGCTGACCCTATAGGTACAGTTTAATATCTTCAAATGCTACATGCTGACCCTATGTTTCTACTGTATAATGGTGACCTCTACTGTATAATGGTGACCTCTAAACAATCTTTGATTTTGCCTTCACAATCTCTTCAGTAAAGCAAACAGAAATTAAGGAATTTTTTCATAATTATAAAAGCTATATCAGTATTTAATCATGAGAACTTGTTGTACATATGAATATTGAGGTAGATAGAACTTTTGTAGAACAATCTTAATGTACAAATAACATTTATTTTGTTCGGGAAATGAAAAACAATGTAAGTATAAATTACATTATGTTGATCATGTTGTTCAGGAAATGTAAATTTATCAAACAACATTACTGTAAATTACATTCTGTTGAGAATAATGTGTGAGATTTTTACAACAGATTTTTTTTGAGACATACTTTGACACATATCCATCATATACTGGACAATGCATTAATATCTACAAAAACACCAAAAAATGTACGTACAATCATAATTATACTCTCATATCAGAAAAGATTACCTATCATGTATATTTACAAAATTATTTGTTTGAATATGTACATCAAAGAATGTTATAAAAAATATCCTTTAACATGATGGCACATATGTATATAGACTAGAACATCATCACTCCTTGTTATCACTCTGTGGTATTTCTGTTTTGATCACAATTTGTTCAGCTTCATCATTGATATGATCATACAAAGGAAATTCACAGCAGCACAGACATTTTAAAGCCCTTGGGAGAGCTCCATAGCAACCGCTGGGAAGTGGGATTAATGGACTTGTTCTGTTCTTGAAGATTAAATAGGCATCATTCCTATAAAATAGGAAAAGAAATGTTTTACACACAAACAAGCAACAAAATGATATCCCTTCTGATAAGAGCTACTAAATAGTTATTTGTACAATGTATTAACATAATGATCACTTTAGATCTCTATATAAAAAAAAAACATGATATCATTAAACATTTACTTAAAAATTAACTTGGAATATATTAACCTAATGATGATTTGAACACATCTTACTTTCTAAAACGTTCATCTGCTTTTTTCTCCAAAAGAGGGATGCCACTGAGAAACAACAAAATGCTCATGGTGAAAATCGGACTAAGGACAGCTGCCCACTGTCCATACCATAGAATACTGGTGCTGATGATGAAGATCCCTAACCATAGAGTTATCTCTCCAAAATAGTTAGGGTGTCGGCTCACACTCCATAGACCTGACGATACAAAAACAGAGTTATCTCTCCAAAATAGTCAGGGTGTCGGCTCACACCCCATAGACCTGACGATACAAAAACAGAGTTATCTCTCCAAAATAGTTAGGGTGTCGGCTCACACTCCATAGACCTGGCAATACAAAAACAGAGTTATCCCTCCAAAATAGTCAGGGTGTCGGCTCACACTCCATAGACCTGATGATACAAAAACAGAGTTATCTCTCCAAAATAGTCAGGGTGTCGGCTCACACTCCATAGACCTGGCAATACAAAAACAGAGAGTTATCCCTCCAAAATAGTTAGGGTGTCGGCTCACACTCCATAGACCTGGCAATACAAAAACAGAGTTATCCCTCCAAAATAGTCAGGGTGTCGGCTCACACTCCATAGACCTGACTATACAAAAACAGAGTTATCCCTCCAAAATAGTCAGGGTGTCGGCTCACACTCCATAAACCTGGCAATACAAAAACAGAGTTATCTCTCCAAAATAGTCAGGGTGTCGGCTCACACTCCATAGACCTGGCAATACAAAAACAGAGTTATCTCTCCTCCATAGACCTGGCAATACAAAAAAAATAGTCTCCAAAATAGTTAGGGTGTCGGCTCACACTCCATAGACCTGGCAATACAAAAACAGAGTTATCCCTCCAAAATAGTCAGGGTGTCGGCTCACACTCCATAGACCTGGCAATACAAAAACAGAGTTATCCCTCCAAAATAGTTAGGGTGTCGGCTCACACTCCATAGACCTGGCAATACAAAAACAGAGAGTTATCCCTCCAAAATAGTTAGGGTGTCGGCTCACACTCCACAGACCTGACGATACAAAAACAGAGTTATCCCTCCAAAATAGTTAGGGTGTCGGCTCACACTCCATAGACCTGGCAATACAAAAACAGAGTTATCCCTCCAAAATAGTTAGGGTGTCGGCTCACACTCCATAGACCTGGCAATACAAAAACAGAGTTATCTCTCCAAAATAGTTAGGGTGTCGGCTCACACTCCATAGACCTGGCAATACAAAAACAGAGTTATCCCTCCAAAATATAGGGTGTCGGCTCACACTCCATAGACCTGGCAATACAAAAACAGAGATTATCCCTCCAAAATAGTTATCTCTCCAAAATAGTTAGGGTGTCGGCTCACACTCCATAGACCTGGCAATACAAAAACAGAGTTATCTCTCCAAAATAGTTAGGGTGTCGGCTCACACTCCATAGACCTGGCAATACAAAAACAGAGAGTTATCCCTCCAAAATAGTCTGGGTGTCGGCTCACACTCCATAGACCTGGCAATACAAAAACAGAGTTATCTCTCCAAAATAGTTAGGGTGTCGGCTCACACTCCATAGACCTGACTATACAAAAACAGAGTTATCCCTCCAAAATAGTTAGTTTGTCGGCTCACACTCCATAGACCTGACGATACAAAAACAGAGTTATCTCTCCAAAATAGTCAGGTTATCCTCCAAAATAGTAGGGTGGCTCACACTCCATAGACCTGGCATGATACAAAAACAGAGTTATCCCTCCAAAATAGTTAGGGTGTCAGCTCACACTCCATAGACCTGACGATACAAAAACAGAGTTATCTCTCCAAAATAGTTAGGGTGTCGGCTCACACTCCATAGACCTGATGATACAAAAACAGAGTTATCTCTCCAAAATAGTTAGGGTGTCGGCTCACACTCCATAGACCTGACAATACAAAAACAGAGTTATCTCTCCAAAATAGTTAGGGTGTCGGCTCACACTCCATAGACCTGACGATACAAAAACAGAGTTATCTCTCCAAAATAGTCAGGGTGTCGGCTCACACTTCATATACCTGATGATACAAAAACAGAGTTACCTCTCCAAAATAGTCAGGGTGTCGGCTCACACTCCATAGACCTTCCTCAATAAAATGTACAGTTCCTGCCCCTAAAAAATGATTGAGTCTGCGCACACTCATCAAAACTTGCCACTGAGGTTAGAGTCAATAAAATAATTTTTTACACAGATAGAATATAATTGTGTACAGTTGGTGAGTAACATTTATATTCTATTATATCCTTGTATCACAAATTCATCTCAACATTGTAGAGACTTCAGACACTTCTAACCTCTATAGATAGTTACATCTATTACAATTAACCATGGTAAATCAAACAAATTATCTACTTGATGATTTTGGTTGGTAATGACTACAGCATTTGACAACAGTCAATTTGGTCCTCCTGGGAAATCTAATTTGAGTTCTGATATTACTTAAGTCAGGTTTCCTCCCAAAAAAACACAATGGTAGGTGAGATAAACTCCTTAACACTGAGCAGACTGACAATATAAATGATTACTGATACACATGTACTTACCTACATACATGTACTTTACCTACATGTCCTTATCTACCTACATGTACTTACCTACACACTTGTCCTTATCTACATACATGTACCTACCTACATGTACTTAACCTACATACATGTCCTTATCTACATACATGTACCTACATACATGTCCTTATCTACATACATGTATCTACATACATGTCCTTATCTACCTACATGTACTTACCTACATCACACCATTTCCCTTTATTAGCAGGATCGTTTCTGAAGTTAAATTTCTCAATGTCAGCGATAGTCTCTGCTAGCAGACCAATGACGAAGAAAAGCCCCCCGACAATGTCCTGTGGTGTCCAGTCATTATCAGGGCTCAACTTGACAGCACTGGAGGGAGCATTTATAAAGATGACCGGTAAGCTGACAGTAAACACCCAGAAGGCCTGTAAAAAATGTTTCAGTATTGAGTCTAAGACTGACTTTCTCTTAGTCCACTTAAATAGTTAAAACATAACTCAGGTGCCATCTTCCTTTAAGATAAAATATTTACTACATTTTGGATGGAATATGTAATGATGTATGAATGTTATTGATATAAATATCAACTTCTGTGTAGAGAAGTTTACATTGTAATTTGTCATTCTACGTTCCTTTCATACTGAGTCATAGAAGATTGAAAATTTCATGAATTTACAAGGTTCTCATTTATTTATGTACAAACTAAAGTAGTTAAATATAATGAAGATTTAAGAATGAATACTCATAGACTGAAATCTACATTGAATAATGAAAATATACACGACAAGAGTGCCATGGGCCTTTATGGTCATCTGACTACAAAAACTTTCAGCAGGGAAAAGGGTTATTTTTTCTATTTTGATTGAAATCTTACTAAGAAACTGTCTTCCATAATGTAGGTGGTAGTAATGGTGAGGAATAGGTAACTGTAACAAGTGCTACCTATTTTTTGACAGTAAAGTTGGAGCTAAATTCAACTGGTGAAACCTGAGAAGAACTTTGAAAAAGGCAATGCACAGGAAAACCATGATTACACAATCATGTTTTAAAATGGCCCCCCTCGCTACCATATCGAAGTTTTGACTAGGTCGAAAACTAACAACACTTAGTTGGTTACCTTTTCTTAACATTCCCACCGAATTTGAGCTCAGTGGCACCAGTGGAACTGGAGAAAAAGTTTAAAATATATTTTTTCAAGATTTCATGCAAGTCTGAGTTCAATCCCATAGATGGAACTTGAGAAGAAGTTTGAAATGTCAAAAGTTTATGCATGGCGGATGGCGCACGGCAGACGACCAAGGGCGAAGCATGATGGCTATAAGCCATCATAACCCTTCAGGTCACATGACCTAAAAATATATATAAATATACCTGAAATGTCCAGAATCCAGCAAAAGCTGCACAATTTTCTCGTTTGTCATCAAATCTTTTGTCTTCTCCAATTTTTATGATTCTATAGAGAAGATATCCTGACAGTCTTATTCCCCAAATACATACAAAGACGGTCACACATATCTGTCTCCAATTGTAAGTCTAAAAATAAACAAAAAGATATAAAATATTACATACATTAACAGACTAACAGCATGTCTTTTGTTTCATGGCACCCTTCCATCATCTTATGATTATTTATACTAAACTGAAGCATCAATATTGCAGTCTTAACATTTTAGTAAATATACGAATCAGACATAATTTCAGAAGACATTTTGATGAGACGTTTTATATATTTATATATTTAAAATCAACAACTTACCTGTGCTAATAAGAATGTAAGTAACGCCAACACCACAAAGTTTGAACCTCCAGCAAAATCTGTTACTTTATCAAATTTACAGGTACATGCTACCAGAAAAAAACTGAACTGCATTGCAACAGTAACTATAGCACAGATTGCTAAGTTGTTTTCATCAGACTCAAACACAAGAACCATTTTGACCGGTGAATGTTCTGAAAACAGGAAGAAGATATTCTGCTTATCAATCAGTCAAAAACAGTTCTTGAATAAACCACTCCAATGTAAGAAACATAAGTATATAAGTCTACTGTTTTACTATCATGAGGCCCAAGGGACTGTCACCTTAGTCACAATGCTTCTTGTAATATTTCCAAGAAAATGCTTTGTCAAAAAATGTGTGATCACTTTGATAACATTGTACACATAATGCAAATGGAAACTGTGTATACATTAACTGCTGTCCCATGCTTAGACTTCAAACCAAGTTTGAATTATAAGAAATTACCCTCAAAATCTTAATTTTCCTATAAAAAAACCTTCCATTCAGAAAGAGTAGAATATCTTTGAAATTTCAGACCCAATTCTTGCCCCGCCCATCAGCCCCTGGGGGTCAGTCAAGGTCAATATGTACATCTCATCAAAGAATCAGTTGTTACAGATGAAAAAAAAATCCAAGCAAGTTTGAACTATTGAACCAATATATAATAAACAATTATGGGGAAAAAAACAAATAATGCTCAAAAATGTAATTTTCGTATATAAACAGTAAATTTTACCCCCCTCTCAAGGAGGGAATATGAGATCCCTGGGTAATAAAATTTACAATTTAGGTACAGAATCTGAAGGCTTTCCATCCATGATGAGTACTTGATTCTACCATACCTGGGATTTGTGAAGATATCTAAATTTCAATCAATTTGACCCTCTTCAGCCCCACCCCTGGGGATTGGGGACCATATAATTTACAATTTTGGTGTGCCTTTAGCGATGGAAGATTTTCGTAAAATTTCATTGAAATCGGTTCAGGAGTTTTCCAGTAGAAGTCGAAAATGTTAAAATTTTACGACACACAAGGCATGACACTAGACAAAACAGGATCACAATAGGTCATCCAAGACTTTGTCTCAAGTGACCTTAAAATGCAACCAGTAAACTGGAAATTCCATCCCAAGCATACGCTACAGAAATACCATGATAATGTTCATTCATTGAAAACCGTTTTGGAGTTCTTTTCCTATTACATTTAGAGGTAAACTAATAGACAAGATTTAACAGTTACAGAGACAATACAATTCACATTGTATTAAAAGTTGATCATGCCACATAAGTATTTATCAGCGACCATGTCAATGAAGCTATTCAAAAAGAACAAGTACAGACATAATGGTAGAGTGTACATGTTTATGTACATACATAGACACATAGATTTATTCTGACAAGGTACAGAAAATATGTACAGGATTAACAATCCTTTGATAGTCAGCTCTTTACATATATATACTGAACAAAATAAGTTAAGGATCATAAACTTGAAACAGTGCAGTTTTACATACAAATAATAATATGATTATATTTTAAATTTTAATGACAGAACATTCATTTTAGTCTTTAATTACACAAAACAAATTAATTTGTGGTAATTGCTACCAAGAGCAGATAACCCTGAGTAACAGCACCCTTGAAATCAAAGTGTAAGAGGAAGTAGAGCAAGTTAATCATGTAGACAAGGAAAACTCATCAAACTGCAATTGGCAGTTTAATAGGCAGTATGACCTCCGTTGACATCAATAACTGCCCTGCAACGTCTGCACATGCTCCTTATTAGTCGTCGGTGGCTGATCTGTGGGATGCGCTGCCATTCCTCTTGCAGAGCAATCATAAGCTGTTGGCGGTTCTGTGGCGGATTAGGTCGAGCTGAAACCCGGCGTTGCAAGGTGTCCCAAGCATGCTCGATAGGGTTCAGATCAGGAGAACGACTTGGCCAGTCCATGGGAACGATTGCTTCACGTTGAAGATAGTCGTTGACCACACGAGCACGGTGAGGACGAGCATTATCATCCATCAGAATAAAATCATGGCCAACAACTCCTGCAATGGGCCTTACTATAGGGTGTAGAATCTCGTCCCTGTATCGAACAGCTGTTAAAGATCCATTGTCTATGATGTAGAGGTCTGTATGGAAGTCAACACTGATCCCTGCCCAAACCATCACTGACCCACCACCAAAGCGATCATGCTGGACAACACAGCAGTCTGCATAGCGCTCTCCTTGGGTTCTCCATACCCTCCTCCTACCGTCATGGAAGTCAACACAAAACCTAGACTCATCTGTGAACATAACATTTCTCCAATGACGTAATTGCCAATTCAAATGATGAGTGGCCCATTGATGTCTGGATTGTTGATGACCTCTGGATAAAATTGGTCGGACTGCTGGTCTTCTAGCTCGTAAATTAGAGGCATGGAGTCTGTTTCTCATTGTCTGGGATGAAATCCTTAGATTTGTAGCACGCTGAAACTGAAGATTCAAGACAGGAGCACTCAAAAACCGCTGACGTCGTGCCGTGATGCAAATGAATCTGTCCTGTCGGGCTGTCGTACAGCGTGGTCGTCCAGATCTGGGGCGTTGACGGACGTTATTTGTCTGTTGATAGCGATTCCATAGCCTACTAATCACGCTCTGAGAAACATGAAGCTGTGCCGCCACATTTCGTTGAGTTTGACCAGCTTGAAGGAGCCCTATAGCTCGCGCGGCTTCCATATCATTTAAATGTCTTCGCATGATTAGTTTTTCAAGTTTTCGTTACAAATTGATTAAATGTTTCCAAATTCAACTTTTTTTAGCTTAGAAGTAACAGAATCAAAACCTGCAAGATTCCTCTGTAGTAATAGACCAGTCAGTTTTTCACACCACCATAGTTAACTAGAGCGGAACGGCAAGACCTTCAGATGCACGTGCTTTCACCTTTGACATGACTTTAGGTACATATTGGAGAAACTACGAGTGCAATTACCGGCAATACATGATTTGAATTTTTAAAGATATTATGGTCACAATTTATGATCCTTAACTTATTTTGTCCAGTATATATATAATTATGATGGTTGAAAGTCAGAAAAGTTCAGTACTCGGCAATTATCCTCACTAGGTGTATGGAATGAAGATGCACTTGAGTGTTACACATGAGTCTGAAAATATCTCACTATTATGGATATATATGAACCCTTATCACAATAATTGTACATTATTGACTCTACACGTACAAGCTAAAATAGATTTAGGCAAATTCAAATACCTTTTTTAGAACTCCGGACTACCCTAATGTTAAATGCTCCTGTGCGTCATGGGAGAATCAAAATCAATTTTAGATACTGCTTAGGAATTTTATCACTTGTAATCAGTACCAGACTCTATCTGTTATCTTAGATGTGTAAATTGTGAATGTCAACATCGCTATGTACGTTCAGTAAACACGCTCATAATACGATAGTTAGGCCTAAATATCATCAACATCGACCAAAAACCTGTCACAAACATAACTGCATACTTACATGGACCAATATGCTCCACAACTACAATTATTTTGTTCACCTCTATTTGAAGAAAACCTTTTGTAAGCCGACAATATGCAAAAGTTGCATAACGTTGATAGCACGTGCGGAACAGCGTGACTGTGACTTGTTTACAGCCGACCACTCTGATGTCGCTTAAGGTTTAACAAACAAATAAAAAAAAAATAACGGAACAAGATGATTAGTTACAAGTAAATATATACATATTTACAGGAATATGAGTTCACTATCATAATTTGATATATTTATGTGGAAGATAAGACTTTGTTTGTCAAAATCAGAAGCAATCGTCGGAATGATTATACCGGAAGTAGATTTAATAGAATGGGCGTGACGGAAAGGTTTCATAACACTAAAAACAGCCAAGTGCAGGCGCACTCTACACTGAGTTGGCCTATATACCCTAGGACTGAAAATCACATGAGCACCCTTTTACAACAAAGTGCGTATGAAGTACAAATGTACAAGGCGATACATGTATCAAACACTGCTAAATCAACTACATCAACGATATGTACCCTTTACCTATTTCCATACCCTGTACCTATGGCTATACCCTATACCCTGTACCCATGGCTATACCCCATTCCCGGTACCCTCTACTCCTTGTCCAAAATACAGTATATTGAACGTGTGTTAACAGGTTATGGAGACTATTGCGATCCCTTTTCTCCGTCGAGTGTCTAATTTTTCCGCGTTTTCAACTAGCAATGAAATTCTGAATTTACACATACCCCTACCACCTATCCTGTACCATTTACCCTCTAGCGCCTATCCCCTTTTTTCTCTTCTCCTAATTCAGTGCGCACCGATAGCAAATGAACGTCCTCACGATTTCCGCGGCCTCGGAACGCTTCTCCAGACACTAAGTTTACGATTCTTTCATATCACACGAGAGCGAGATTCACGAGCTTTCATGGCGTTGCCTGTCCACATTTGTATTAAATTTCCATCCTCTTCAAATTTGCCGTGTAAATTTGATTCAACATTCGACATTCTACACTTGTTGTGCTCTTTAGATTATGGACTAACAGAAATATAGCCTACTATCTTGGATTTGACCTTCAAATATATTTATTAATATTTCTTGGAAGAAATTTCAAATAACGTATGATGAATAGCAAAAACGAAGGAAAAGGACCCAACATTTAAAGACCAAGCAAACATCAAACAATGATGTACTCAAAGCTTTCTCTGTGACCTTTTGTTTGGATTTCTGTTCATATAAACTATGATTGATAAAAAACTAATAATTTTTCATCGCATATGGCAGTCATATCAACGTATCTTCTGAATATTTTGAAATATAATTAAAACCACACCAAACCTGGTCGGATATCCACTCCTTAATTGTCTTTGTCAATACAATTGGATAAAACAAATTTTCTTGATTGTTGAATAGAAGCAGCACGGATAAGATGTGTACAGTGATCAGACTTGAAAACTGATAAATTATCAACTTGTATTTTATTGAAATAAAAAAACACATTTTATCAGTAAACATTAAAACATTATAACACTATAAACATTATTATCTGTTTATGAATATATATATATATGTATGGAAGGCACATGAATAATGACTTGAAATCAAGACCAATCCAAGATTGTTCTGACATGTAATACTGTCAAATCTTTCAGCCAAGGTCATTGGTATGGCAAAATATGGAGGCAAGTCTCGACAGTGTCTTGGATCCGCTGCTTGACAAGAGCATGATATAAAATGACAGTAATCACCGAACAGAAAGAATAAGAAAGCACCTGACTTTTATTGTTAGATTATGTAGAATATTTTGGCGAGGAATTTATGGTTGTGTTTCATGATTGTTGTCCTAACACATTTATAAACATCGGTTAATTCGTTTTCATTCCAAGATAGTTAATAAAGTGGAAAATAAAAATATATGATTTAAGCGAATTCATTCCGACAGAAAAAGAGAAGTCTTCTCACAAGGCTTGATTTGTTAATTGATTTTTCTATTTGTTTGGATTCACAAATAAGCCCAGTCCTTTTACCAATATTTTGTCAAGAACTTGCGCATCTCGTGATCTTCTGCTGGTGAAAACCGTCGTGTCTATTTTTCATATTCAGAGTAAATTGGTATAACATCGTATAGATCATCACAACATTAACACACATTGACGAAGGTTTGTTATAAGGAATGCTACATCTGCAATAGTTTCATTAGCACTTGACAATAAACATATACATGTCTATTGTAAAGTGATGAACGGGGACCAAAGGAGTCAAATCAAACGAAATCCAACCACTGTAATCAGAGTAAATCCATTACCTGTAAGTTATTGCCAAACATTCTTTGATATGTTAAACAGGTAACGTCACATACAATATCATATGTCATTAATAACATGGTAGAATCATTACCAGACCTTACTGCTATTCGCCAGAAACCCTCCCAATGTGTGTGTGTGTGGTTTTATTATTATTTTTATTTTTGTCTTTTTTTTTGATAACTCGGTTAAAAAATCAACACTTGTATATAAAATGTTTCTTGATACAGCACGATAAAAAAACCTATAGCGTGTTTGTATAAAAATATTTTCTATTTAAAAACAAAATCATATCAAAATATTTCAATCAATATCCAGTGATTGAACATAGAGACTATTTGATAGTCGCGATCACCTAAAGGTAACACACGTAAATAAATTATAACAAAATATGCATACTTTGTACCTCGTTGGGACATTATTAATGAATATCACAGTCCTAGAATATGTAGAAACATTAAATTAGAGAATTATTACAAACTCTTACACACAAGCAGCAGTAATAGTAACTATATATATTTATATATATGCTTGAAACACGCACGTGTTCCTTGTCTAAGCAGAACACACTAATTATATTCATATCTTGATCATGTCATTCAATCAACTGACATTTCAATTGTTTTTGGTTCTTTTGCTTTTTTTTTTTTTTTTTTTAATATAATCAGTTTTTATTCAGATCACGAATTCATCTTACATATTCAGAGTAAACACTGCACGTTTTCGATACATTGCAACAGTAACATCTCTGAAGTATCGACAGACAGGTGAGGAGGCTTGTGTGGGAACGTTAGAATATTTGTAGGCAACCAGCACAAGGCATTATACAGGCAGTCAACATCTTGCATATTTTTAAACATACAGCTTGTGTCGGTACCCTTCGTTATGATATATAGAATACAGTTACCAACAAACGGATATTAGGTTAATGCTTATGTTAACATGTTGGTATTTTCTTGTTTTGTGCCATATATACTATCAACAAGTTCCTTTACTAAGTATTTCCGATTCTCAAGACGTGGATAAATAAAGTTTTTCGATGTTCTTATATGTTAACAAATCTTTGCAATGACAAATAAAAATATCTAAGCACGAATACATTTGTTTTCTACTCTATAACAGACCGTGTATGTCAGGATTGCTATACCATAAGCTTCTATATTCTGGATTAATGAAAACCAAAAGCTCTATACAAGATTGCATTCACAGAATAGTTTCTCTTCCGCCTAAATAAAATGCAGTTTTGTCTTATCAGCAATACTTCTAGGAATGGTTTAAGATATTTTCCATGTTTCCAGAGGTATTTCAGTTGTTAACACTTCCCGCTATTTTAACTGACTGGTCGTTGGAGCACTTTTTATTAAGTCTACAAACACGACTTTGTAACTTTATGGTGAGAAGACATATAGGACTATTTTCCGACTATGGGTAATAATGCTTCAAACTGGATATCTAACCACATATAATAGCTATATGTCACATTTTCATCGTTTAAAATTAATTTCTTAAGGATTATTAATAAATAAAAATTGTAGCCAAACTTGAAATGGCTTTGCACATTTTTTAAAACTTAGACGCTTGCAAAAATGAAGCGTTTACAAGACACATTAAGCGTTTGTAAAATAAAGACTTTAGACGACCCTGTATGAGCAATACATACCAAGATAATCTCGGGTCATTACGATACATCACGACAGATTCTTCAGAAATCGAACAATATTTCAATGACCTAAGATGGTATTTCATAATAGAAATCAACAATTGTTTTTTTTATTTCATCTGTCAGATATATTCCTCCTGTCAGATAAAGTCCTTCCTCCTATCATATATAGTCCTTCCTCCTATTAGATTTTCGTAAGGCTCAGCGTTAAACACGTCTGGGAAATCTTTAAGCAACTCCTCAGCGAGACAATGATGATCACACCGTCTCAGAACTTTTATCAGTATGTCTGGTGTTGCGCCATTGTCGCAAATATACTTCATACATTGGTAAACCTGCTCCTTTACGTTATGAGAGAGATTTGTCTTCATCTCCTTTATTTTTGCGTCAGCATTAACACTGTTGTTTGAAGCTAAAAAAATAAAGCCATTCATTTAATTGGCAAATAAAACAACAATACTCACAACATCAACGTTTTAAAGTAGTATAAAACAAGGAAGTCACTATAAACCAACTTTTCCTGTAATACTGGAATTTTCTCAAAGTGGCAAAACATACCTTCATACAGATCCCGAATAAAAAATTCCCATGATCCCGTTGTCATCAAGCCTTCGCAAACTTTCTGCAAAACAGTAAAGGGATATCTCCAGGTCTGAGGAAGACTTGGAGATGATGGCTGCAGAGATGTTTGCTGTGGAGATGATGGTCGTGGAAATATTTGCTGTGGAGATGATGGTCGTGGAAATGTTTGCTGTGGAGATGATGGTCGTGGAGATGTTTGCTGTGGAGTTGATTGCCACAGAGATGTTTGCTGTGGAGTTGATGGCCCCAGAGATGTGTGCTGTAGAGATGATGGTTGTGGAGATGTTTGCTGTGGAGGTGATGGCCCCTGAGACGTTTGCTGTGGGGGTGATGGCCCCTGAGACGTTTGCTGTGGAGGTGATGGCCCCAGAAATGTTTGCTGTTGAGATGATGGTCCCAGAGATGTTTGCTGTGGAGTTGATGGCCCCAGAGATGTTTGCTGTAGAGATGATGGTCGTGGAGATGTTTGCTGTGGAGATGATGGTCGTGGAGATGTTTGCTGTGGAGGTGATGGCCCCTGAGATGTTTGCT